GGGACTGGCAGGGGCACAGCGATCTACGTCAGGAACACTATCCCTCATTCAATCTCCACTGACCCCATCGACTGTGGGAAGGGCGTAGAGGTTCAGGCTGTCACCCTACACCTGGCGGATGGACCTCTCGTGGTTTACAATATTTACAGAAGCTCTCGGTACACCCTTGACATTTCAGAGGTGGCAGCACTCGCCCCACGGGAGGGTCTTGCTGTGGCTGGGGATGTCAATGCCCACCACCCAATACTTTCTTCTGTCTCTCCTACCAACGCAGCTGGGAGGCACCTTGCGGCTGTGCTGGAGGAGGTCCCTGAGATCGCCCTCCTCAATAATGGTGAGCCAACCCATCACTATGGTGGCCACTTGGATGTCACACTCATCTCTAGGCGGTTGCTCTCGAGCGCGAGATGGGAGGTCCACCCCTGTCTCACCAGTGATCACTTTGCAGTGGTCACTATGCTGATGGTCCAGCAGTGCCCGCTCCCCACACCTACCCCCAGATGGAATCTTAAAAAGGCCGACTGGCAGTGCTTCCAGGAGGTCATTGAGCACTGGTGGGCAGAGTCTCCTCTTCCAGACGACCCAGATGAGGCGGCTCAAAGCTTGCAGGTGGCCTTCACATGTGCAGCTGAGGCAGCAATCCTAAGATTACAGGCAGAGGGTCATATAAACATGACTGGTGGTTTTACAATGAGGACATCAGGGAACAGAACCACCACATCAATGTTGTACGCAAGATGCACAGGCGTAATCCCACGGTTGAGTCCATGCGTCTGCTCAGGGAAGTGGTGCGGCATGCACGCCATGTCTCACACAGGGTCCGGCAGGCTAAATGGTTCGAGTGGTGTGCCTCCTTCAGCTACTCCTCCACCTTATCTGAGATTTGGACCAAGTTACGATTGGCCACTGGGCAGCGTTGCAGTGTGGCTCAGTTGCACCCAGACCCCGCAACAGAGGCAGAGCGTCTGGTGGACCTATTCACCTCCAGAGCGGCCATGGCTCAACTGCCTCAGGATCTCCAGGACCTCTAGGCCACCCTCCTTCCTAGAAGGGTGATGGTGATCCAAGCAGCATGCCAGGCTAAGGACGTCACGGATGAAGACTTCACCGACCAGGAGCTCCAGGCAGCCTTCACATCTCATCGAGACACTGCACGGGGGCATGATGGTATCACCTATGGCATGATCACTCGGTCTGGCCATTCTGGACATTCAGCTGTCCTGGGGGTAATCAATCGGACTTGGCGAGCTGGCAAACTCCCTGTCGTATGGAAGGAGGCTGACATCATACCGATTCCTAAGCCTGGGGATCCTGGCAGTGTGAGACCCATCTCCCTCACCAGTTGCATCTCAAAGGTGTCTGAAAGGATGGTGTTGGAGCGCCTGAGGTGGAAGCTTGGCCCTCCTCATAAACACCTCTATGGCTTCACCAGAGGAGTGGGCACTTTCGAAAGCCTTACCACTCTACTGACCGGCATTGGGTCGGACGCCCAAGCCCACATTGTTGTCTTTCTTGACCTCGAGAAAGCTTTTGAGCTAGCCAGTGCACCTGCCATCCTCTCACTCTTGGCCCACAGGGGGATTAAAGGCAGGCTGCTTTCATGGCTTCGTTCCTATCTCCAGGACAGGCGGGCCCGGGTACGCTTCCAGGGGCATGCCTCTTCTCTCAAGACCCTGGACAACGGCACTCCACAGGGCGGGGTGCTTAGACCCACCCTGTTCAATGTACTGATGCACCAGCTGGTGTGCCTGCCTTTCTCCAGAGGCACCATCCTCCTCAGCTATGCCGATGACCTGGCACTTGTCGTACCTAGAAAGTGCCGGCTTTTGCAGCGTGCCCAGGAGGACCTCGATCTGCTGGCTTCCACCTGCTGTCACTTGGGACTCAAGATATCTGTGGCGAAATCCAAAGCCATGATCCTTCGCACCAAGGTCCCCAGTCAGTGGCTGCGGGTCCTGGGCATCGACCTGGAGTGGGTTCACAGTTATAGGTACCTTGGCATCTACATTGACAGGCACCTCACCTTCCAGAAACATGTGCGCCACATTAAAAAGAGGGCTCTGCAGAGGGTCAGGGCATTGAGTGCCATGGCCAACCCTAGGGTTGGGGCCAGCCTCGAGGTCATGAGGCTGTTCTACATCCAGGCAATACGTTCCCTCGTTGACTATGGGGCACTTGCTCTGGTTCACGCCAGACCCACAAACATCAAATCCCTCTGTGTCATCCAGAACACAGCTGTACGGGCCATGCTGGGGGCTCCTAGGTGGGCCAATGCAGTGGCTCTGAACCTTGAGGTGCAGCTACAGCCTCTTGAAGACAGAATCCAACTGGTAGCTGCCAGGAGGATTGCAAAGTATCTCCGACTCCCAGGGGCTGACAAACTGATGAGAGATTTACAGGTCGGCCAGGGGCAGGTCATTCCACTGCATCCCGGCCGCCGATGGATGTGGTCGGTAGCAGATGCCACACAGAAGCTCTTGCCCATGACATTGCTCCAGGTGGGAGGCTGCAACAGACTGGTAGCAAACTACACGGTGCCACCCCCTTGGGCACCAGAGCTGTTTGCGGTGCGCTGGACAACCCTACCAGACAGCAAGAGGCATTGCACCCGGGACATTCTGCACCACCTTGCCTCGGCTAGCATTGTGGGTGCGGAAGGCCCAGGGTGTGTGCCATATTACACTGATGGCTCCAGAGACCCAGTGGCAGGCCGCACAGCTGCTGGGATGTTCCACAGCAATCTGACAGCAGGTTGGCGCCTCCCAGACCATTGCATCATCCTCCAGGCCGAACTCTTTGCCATCCAACAAGCTCTGCGGCATGCTCTTGCAGACCATCAGCATCCCCCCATCATCCACGTTGATTCCAAGGCAGCGATCCAAGCGCTTATGCACAGAGAGCCAAAGGACAACATACGCTTAATCACATCCATCCAGGGTGACCTGCAGACTCTCATGGCCCAGGGTCGCAGGGCTACCATCAACTGGATCCCGAGCCATGTGGGTATCCCTGGCAATGATGCTGCAGATGAGGCTGCTAGGACTGCAACCCTCGAGGCACAGCCACGTGCTGCGATCTCCATCAGCCTCAGCCAGATTGCGCTGTGGGCTGCTGGTGCGGCCAGGTGCCCATTCCTTGACCCTGGGGATTCACGGAGCCTCTGTTGGTATGTCAGGGCGACCCACAGGGTGCCCCCTCCAAGTATTCGGACACAGTCCAGGGAACTGAGGGTGCATATCCACCGCCTACACTTAGGGTATTCAACCACTGCACGGATTGTTGAACGGGCACGAGAGGAGCTCTGTGCCCATTGTGACCGAATGGTTCCGCAGCCCTTGGTGCACTACCTGTTAGACTGCCCGGCTACGATGCCCCTTCGCTGTAGACACTTCCCAATGACCCCTGTAGGGCAGACCCGAGAGGATGAGGCAGCACATCTTGTGTACTTAGCTGTCAGGGACTTGGAAACCTTACTTCCTGTCCTTACACATCATCCGCCCCCCCCGCTGAAGTTGCTGCGAGGGCCTGCTTTGGGCCTCCATTGCACTGCACACCAGCCACTGTTAGTGCACACTAACGTTTGGTACGTCATCTGGCCATAGGGCCGGTGAGGTACCCCCTTCCCTTCCTGCTGAAGACCTGCTACACAAGTGCAAGTAACGATAAATGTCACTTTCCTACCCGGGGAGCCAATGCTGGGTCACCAAAATGGAAGAGACCCGAGCCGGGATTACCGGCGAATCAAATAGAATAGAATAGAATAGTGGCCGTCTTTGTAATTAATATTTTATAACATGTAAACCACACATTGTAAGCTTTGCAAGGAAATAAATATTTTCACTTTCAGAAATCAGAAGTGACTTATTTCCATTAAGGTCCTTTACATTATCCTTTATCCTCTAGTGCTCACGTGATCCCTCCGGTGGACCGCTCGGTATAATGCCACATAATATTAATTTTAGAGTATTTTTCATATTTCTATGTTATTTGTATTGTTTATTATATCATATTAGATCAATTGTGATAGATAAATAAGCCTTAGTATTGATATGTGCGCAATTACGAAAGATTTTGCCGAGGCGGCAGTAATGTTTGGTCAGCACTTCTTCTCAGACTGCTTCCTGATTGGTTATTTAACTCCATAATAGCTCAGCCCACTGTAATGATGTCAAATTGTTAATTATTATATTACTAGGAATAATAAATGAAACAAACAAAAAAATCGGATAAAATCTGAAAATTGACAGCATGTGAGCACTCATGCCACATGTGATGGCACCACCATATATGTTATAAATGACTCTAATTCCTTGTTGGGACATAATAAAATCAGTGATTCTTATACCAGAGTGTTTCCAAAGAGTTAAACTATTTTTCTACATGATTTACTCAATTTTTTTAATTTTTTTATATTTTTTTATAATTCGCGTGCCGAGTGAATGTGTGATGGTTGTTCAGTGTATTAATATATGGAGTTGTAAGAGAAGTGAATGCTCAGGTGTTGGCAAGAAATGTGGAGTTAACAGATAAAGAATCTAACACAAAGTGGGAGTTGTCACAGTTGCTCTTTGCTGATGACACTGTGCTTTTGGGAGATTGTGAAGAGAAGTTGCAGAGATTGGTGGATGAATTTGGTAGGGTATGTAAAAGAAGAAAATTAAAAGTGAATATAGGAAAGAGTAAGATGAAGAGGATAACAAAAAGATTAGGTGACGAAAGAGTGCATATCAGATTGGAGGGAGAGAGTTTGGAGGAGGTGAATGTTTCTAGATATTTGGAAGTGTCAGAAGATGGGTTTATGAAAGATGAAGTGAATAATAGAATTGACGAGGGGAAAAAGAACGCCTCTGGCAAGACAGTGATGGAGTGAATGATGAAAGTTTTCCTTTTTTGGGCCTCCATCCCTTGGTGGGAAACCGCTAATGTGTTAATAAAAATAATAATAATATTAATAATAAATATTTATAATAATCTTTATGCTAATGATGATGATCTCTCAGGACCCAGTTGGTGGTGATGGGTGGGAGGGAGTGAGGGATGGGTCCCAAGAGCCTCCACTCTGCTCCCAGGTAACCCCGGAGACAGTCACTTCCAGTCATCCAGTTTACGAGGGAGACGAAGACTGTCTTTACCTCAGCATCTTTACCCCCAAGGTCAAGAAATATATCCTTTTTGCTCTTCTGTTCAAACTCATACACTAAGTAGAGTGGAAAGACATGATTCTGAGCACACATATTTTGTTGAAATTTCTTTGTTCTGACCAGAGCTTTTTTATATCTAATGATTTGATAATGCTGGGTTTAGATCGAAGCATTGTTCTATATATCAAATGTTGTGTTGAATGATGTCATGAAGACACACAGGTAGTACTGACGTCATGTAATGATACAGGTAATACGCTGGAACTGGTCCTTCCATCTAAATCAGACAGGACGTGTTGTGCTTTTAATACTGTTTATAAACTCAAGAGACTGGTATATGTAGAAAATCCAAGGAGATCAGCAGTTTCTGAGATACTTAAATCACCCCATCTGGCACCAACAATAATTCCACGATCAAAGTCTCTTATATCACACTTGTTTCCCATGTTGAAGTTTGGTCACAACATCAGCCTACCAGGCCCATCATCCAAAGGGGACAAGAAAGCACAGACCAGCAGGACCATGGGAAACAAAAGAGGGGAGCCATAACCTCTCCAGAGAAGGAGGTTTTTTAATGCCAGAAGGAAAAAAGGCTAGCTAGAAATGAGAGAAATCTTACTCCAATTAAAAACACTTCTGGAGCAGAGGCACAGTCATTGGCCTCCATTCCAGAACAACAGACATTTTTGCCAGCAAATGGAAACACCCATAAATTGCAACAATATAACCATATTTATCATCGCAAACATACAGGGACTAAAGTCATCAACAAACAACAAAATTCCTACATCAAGGGACTGCTCACGGAGTTAAATGCAATATTTGCAAGTACTCTGCCCCAGACCCGGACTCATGGAACTGTGTGTTCACAAGAGTTGCAAGAAGCCCCTGTCACGTGCCTTCAGCATTCTATGGAGAGGGAGCATGGACACAAGCGTCATCCTACACTTACTAAAAGCAACAGACATAGCCCCCGTCCACAAAGGTGGCAGTAAAGCAATTGCAATGAATTACAGACCGATAGGAGTAACATCCCACATCATAAAAATTTTTGAAAGGGTTCTGCGAAGGGAGATCGCAGATCACCTATATACCCATCAGTTACACAACCCAGGCAAACACATGTTTAGAGCGGATCGCTCTTGCGGTCCCAGCTACTGGACCACTATGACAAGGTCCTGGATGCTATAGAGGATAAACAAAATGCAGATGTAGTATACACAGACTTTGCGAAAGCCTTTGACAAGTGCGGCTATGGTGTAATAGCGCACAAAATGCGTGATAAAGGAATAACAGGAAAGTTGGTAGATGGATCTATAACTTCCTGACAAAGAAAACAAAAAGAAAAATACCAAAGAGAGTAAAGTTTGAGATATCAATGTGAAAAGCTGTTTTCCACAAGGCACGGTACTCGCCCCTATCCTATTCCTCATCCTTATATCTGATATAGACAGAGATGTAAGCCATAGCAATGTGTCTTCCTTTGCTGATGACACCCAAATTGCCATGTCAGTGACCTCCATCGAAGACACTGCAAGACACCAAGAGGACATCAACCAAATCTTCAAATGGGCCACTCAAAACAATATGAAATTCAATGAAGAGAAATTTCAACTGCTTAGATATGGAAAACTTGAGGAAATTGAAACACTATAGGATATACAACAAATTCTAACCATACTGTAGAGCAAATAAGTAATTTGCTGGACCTGGGAATGATAATGTCAGAGGATCTCACCTTCAAACACCACAACAGTGTTCCTACCACATCAGCTAGAAAAATGATAGGATGGATAATGAGAATCTTCAAAACTAGGGATGCCAAGCCCATGATGATTCTCTTCAAATCACTTGTCCTCTCTAGGCTGGAATACTGCTGTGCACTAATTGCCCCCTTCAAGGCTGACGAAATTGCTAGCCTTGAAAGTGACAAAAGTCTAAATTGCTGGGAACGTTTGAAGTCCCTTGATCTGTATTCCCTGAAGCAGAGGAGAGAAAGATGCATGATAATATACACTTGGAGAATCCTAAATGAATTTGTACCAAATTTGCACACGAAAGTCACTGCCTATGAAAGTAAAAGACTCGGCAGGAGATGTAACAATCCTCCAATAAAGAGCAGGGGTCCCACGAGTACACAGAGAGACAACACAATGAGTGTCAGGGGCCCAAGACTGTTCAACTGCCTCCCAGCATACATAAAGGGGATTACCAATAGACCCCTGGCTGTCTTCAAGAAGGCACTGGACAGGCACCAGCCGGGCTCTGGTTCGTAAGTCAGTCTGCATGCCCAGCAGTAGCAGCCTTGTTGATCAGACCCTATCCACTACGAGCCCTGGTCTCAGACCGGGCCCCGGAGACGTTGACCCCCGAAGCCTTCTCCAGGTAAACCATCTTGACAATGCATGCTTTTAGTCAATGAGGTAGTGAAACATGATTGGCTTCTTTGGTATTTGCATTAACAAGCAGGTGAACTAAACAATGTTGTCACTGAGAGTATATAAATCATTAGAAATACACACCTCTTAGTGTATATATTTCAATTATCTTCTTGCTCGCAAAGAGTTTCATGCGACTGTAACCAAAAACTCGCAAAGAAAAACATCTTAACTCAAAATGGGAAAAGAGTTCTTTATTAGTAATTACTGTTGAACTAGTTTAATGATTTATGACATTACAGCCTGGTGAGCCTGAAGCCCAACTTCCAGTGATGGTCTTCATTCATGGAGGAGCCTTTTTTTACGAGGGAATAAGAAAATTTTCGCCATATGTATTCCTGAATGAAGATGTAGTCTTAATTTTTATCCAGTACCGTCTTGGTATTCTTGGTAGGTGTACTTCTTTCATGTGACTCTAAAGTTTCACACAAAACATTTTTATCCCTGTGGCTGGTCCTTAGATGGCTTTATTGACGTAATTATCTTCTAGTTATTATTTGCAGTAAACTCATGTTCAGTTGCAGCCAAATTGGTAAGAGACCAAACAGCGACAGAGGATCAAATCTTTACCCACAAAGGTTTAACGCTTCAATACAGTACCCTGTGGTTTTGAAGTATTCAATGTTAATCCTCGAGTATGACCCAGGAACATAAATTAAAAATAGGATGAAGTACTCTTGATCCAAGGAATTGGAGCTACCATTGGAAATATAAACACAGATGCAGTATAATGTGATCCTTTATTGACAACGTTTCGCCCACACAGTGGGCTTTTTCATGTCACAAACAGATCTACCTAGGGTGGAAGGTATGCGAGTATTTATAGTCAGGTTCAGAATGCTGAGGTCAGGTGGAGAATGCTGTCTCTGATGATGTACCCAGTGGGGTTATAGAGTCTAAAATCTTGGGTAGCTTGGAAGGGAGATTGGATAAGTTTGTGAGCAGACCTTCTGCAGTGTTCTTCCATTCCTATGCTCTTTTGTGGCATAGCGATGAAGAAGTTTATTCGCAAGTGGTTCAGCTATGTTATTGAAGCCGCTATTCTGGTTGAAGTTGTCGGATATAGAAATAAGTGATGATTCCATGATTCTTCGGTATTGAGTGTTGTCTTCTGTGGCGATAAGTCTTGAGTTTCTGTAGTTTATCAAGTGGTTGTGGGAATTACGGTGTTGTACACATGCATTCCTTGTATCGTCAGACCTGCTTGCGTATTGGTGTTCTGAAATACGTGTTTGGAGGTCCCTTGATGTTTCCCCCACGTATAATTTCTTGCAGTCATTACAAGGGATTATGTATACCTATGCAGAGGGTGGAAGCTTGTCCTGTCTATCACTGGTAATATCCTTGATGGTCGTGGTTGTGGAGGTAGATACTTGGAATGAGGTATTGGAAAAGATGTTGGAAACGTGTTTGGCAATGGAGCTGGTGGGGAGGACTATGTATCTCTTCTCGGCAGTGTCTTCTCTGGGTGCGTTGAAGATGTTTAATGCCCGTCGTCTGCAGTCTCTGATGAAGTGACGAGGACAGTGGAGTTTAGAAAATACTTGTTCAATTATAGTGCATTCTTCCTCAAGAAACTTATTGCTGGAGATTCTGAGTGCATGCAGTAAGAAGCCTATAATTACACCACGTTTAGTTTTGGTGCCGTGGTGAGAGTAGAAGTGGAGAAGATCGTTTTGGTTGGTGGGTTTTCGATAGACTTTAAAACAAAGTTCATGGTCAGCTTTGCAGAAAAGAACATCAAGGAAAGGAAGAGTGTAGTCGACTTCTTCTTCAAGTATGAACTGGATTGAAGGCTCGACCTGGTTGAGCTTGTCTTGGACAGCTTGGATGTTGAAGCATTTAGGAGTTATGAGGTGAATGTCGTCAACATAAGGGAGCCAAGTGACAGACGAAGGAATAATGGTGGAGAAACGTTCGGCTTCTAGATGTTCCATGTATAGGTTCGCCAGGACCGCACTGAGTGGCGAACCCATGGGTAGTCCAAAAGTCTGCTGAAAGAGGTGATTTTCGAAAGAGAAACACGTAAAGCCAACACATAGTTCAACAAGGTCGATGAAATCGCTGGCTGGAATAGGAAGATCAAGTGAATCATCAATTTTCCTGCACAAGAGATCGATGGCTTGTGTAGTAGGTACTTTGGTGAATAGGGAAGTCACGTCAAGGCTGGAAAGTTTCTTGTTCCTGATGCTGATGTTGCGAATGCGATTGAGAAGATCACCCGAGTGTTTTTACATGTGCTGGACTGATAGTGCCCAAGAGTTTAGAGAGGTGTTTTGCGAGAATTCCTGAGAGCTGGTGGGAAGCACTGCCTATTCCCGAGGATATTGGCCTCAGTGGGATACAAGGCTTGTGAGCTTTTGGCAGCCCGTACATTCTGGCAGGTCTGGGGTTGCTGGGCATGGTGTGCAGAAGTTTCTTCCCTTGTTCTGAGCCCCTCAGAATGCGGCGAGACCTTTGAAGAAAAGTTTTGGTAGGGTTGTCCACTTGGTTAGTTGTGAGAGGTTTGTAGGTATCTGGGTCATTAAGTAGACTGAACATTTTGTTCCTGTAATCGTCAGTGTTCATGATAACAACACCACCTCCTTTATCAGTGGTGGTGACCCTGATGGTCGTGTCTTCTGCTAAACCTTTGAGTGCATTGATGTAACGTCGAGGTATGACTGGGGAGCTGCGTGTTGAGATGGCTGCTGAGATGATGCCTTGAAGATAACCTTTTTGGAAGTCGGGGCCATTGTGTCTGTAGTTTTTGGCGATGAAATTGAGGTCTTGTTTTGGTTTCGTAATTCCTGTTGCGAATTTGAGGCCTAAGCTCAGGGCTTCAGTTTCTGTGGTTGACAGTGGACGAGATGAAAGATTTTGAATAATTTCAGGCCTTCCTAAACTTTTCTAATTACTATTATCGCAGAGTGTTTGTAGTTTCCTAGTAAGTCTGATCTTCTGTTGAACATTCGCTGTGGTAACTCTGCTGCAAATGATTTCGGTGGTGCGTCTGTTCATGTTGCCCCGGAGTGTTGTGCCTAGTGTTCAGGCTTGGAGAAAAGCTTCCTTTGTAGCCTTGTTTAAGTCATCTGCACACTCTTCAAGGTAGGTCCGAGCTGTAGCAGAGAAAGGAGGTTTGATGTTGGCAATTTGAGGAGGAGTAGATCTTGGTAAGACCATTCATTGGATGCAATCACGAAGAAAATTGTAAACAAGAAATTGTATATAAGAAATTGAATGCATCCAATCAGGGTCACCACCGCTGATAAAGGAGGTGGTGTTGCTATCATGAACACTGACGATTACAGGAACAAAATGCTCAGTCTACTTAATGACCCAGATACGTACAAACCTCTCACAACTAACCAAGTGGGCAACCTTACTAAAACTTTTCTTCAAAAGACTCGCCGCATTCTGAGGGGCTCTGAACAAGGGAAGAAACTTCTGCACACCATACCCAGCAACCCCAGACCTGCCAGAATGTACGGCCTGCCAAAAACTCACGAGCCTGGTATCCCACTGAGGCCCATATGCTCGGGAATAGGCAGTGCACCCCACCAACTCTCAGGAATTCTCGCAAAACACCTCTCTAAACTCTTGGGCACTATCAGTCCAGCACATCTCAAACGCTCGGGTGACCTTCTCAATCGCATTCGCAACATCAACATCAGGAACAAGAAACTTTCCAGCCTTGATATACCTTCCCTATTCACCAAAGTACCTACTACACAAGCCATCGATTCACTTGATCTTCCTATTCCAGCTAGCGATTTCATCGACCTTGTTGATCTATGTGTTGGCTTTACGTGTTTCTCTTTCGAAAATCACCTCTTTCAGCAGACTTTTGAACTACCCATGGGTTCGCCACTCAGTGCGGTCCTGGCGAACCTATTCATGGAACATCTAGAAGCCGAACGTTTCTCCACCATTATTCCTTCGTCTGTCACTTGGCTCCCTTATGTTGACGACATTCTCTTCATAACTCCTAGACGCTTCAACGTCCAAGCTCTCCAAGACAAGCTCAACCAGGTCGAGCCTTCAATCCAGTTCACACTTGAAGATGAAGTCGACAACACTCTTCCTTTCCTTGATGTTCTTCTCTGCAAAGCTGACCACGAACTTCGTTTTAAAGTCTATCGAAAACCCACCAACCAAAACGATCTTCTCCACTTCTACTCTCACAACGACACCAAAACTAAACGTGGTGTAATTATAGGCTTCTTCTTGCGTGCACTCAGAATCTGCAGCAATGAGTTTCTTGAGGAAGAATGCTCTGTAATTGAACAAGTATTTTCTAAACTCCACTATCCTCGTCACTTCATCAGAGACTGCAGATGATGGGCATTAAACATCTTCATCACACCCAGAGAAGACACTGCCGAGAAGAGATACATAGTCCTCCCCACCAACTCCATTGCCAAACACGTTTCCAACATCTTTTCCAATACCTCATTCCAAGTATCTACCTCCACAACCACGACCATCAAGGATATTACCAGTGATAGACAGGACAAGCTTCCACCCTCTGCAGAGGTATACATAATCCCTTGTAATGACTGCAGCAAATTATACGTGGGCGAAACATCAAGGGACCTCCAAACACGTATTTCAGAACACCAATACGCAAGCAGGTCTGACGATACAAGGAATGCCTGTGTACAACACCTTAATTCCTACAACCACTTGATAAACTACTGAAACTCAAGACTTATCGCCACAGAAGACAACACTCAATACCGAAGAATCATGGAATCATCACTTATTTCTATATCCGACAACTTCAACCAGAATAGCGGCTTCTATAACATAGCTGAACCACTTGCGAAGAAACTTCTTCATCGCTATCCCACTAAAGAGCATAGGAATGGAAGAACACTGCAGAAGGTCTGCTCACAAACTTATCCAATCTCCCTTCCAAGCTACCCAAGATTTTAGACTCTATAACCCCACTGGGTACATCATCAGAGGCAGCATTCTCCACCTGACCTCAGCATTCTGAACCTGACTATAAATACTCGCATACCTTCCACCCCAGGTAGATCTGTTTGTGACTTGAAAAAGCCCACTATGTGGGCGAAACGTTGTCAATAAAGGATCACATTATACTGCACATTTGTTTATATTTCCATGTGTCGGTTTTTCTACCATTTATTTCCATGGAGCTACCCTTCCTTCCCATCAATCAAAGCTGATTACATAGTATTCTTCGGGCACTGCACTTGCTTCGATTTCACACTGCATTTGAGGGATGTGCAGATTTTTTCGATGCCCCGCTGCCAGACTTGTGTTTCTCTGCTTTTAAGTTGGTATTTATTTTTAAAGTATAGATTTAAGTGCTCATGGTAGCTACTCCTTCCTAACCTAATGTAAACTATCCTAAGGTAACCTAAGTTAAAGTATATGCGAACAGAAAGCAAGAAAAAATTCAGTCTGGATAATAAGTACATTTTACTGAAGTATTCATTTTATCTTTTCCTAGTTAGCTGTAAAGGACCAATAAAATGAAATTCATGATGGCTAATATTAATATGCCAAGGCCACGGTGCCTCGTGGCCTAGTGGCAAAATCTCTCACTTCACACGGTGAGTGTCCTCGTCCAGGTTCGATTCCCGGCGAGGGTAGAATCATTGAGAGTGTTTCTTTACACCAGTTGTCCATGTTAACCCATCAGTAATAATGGGTACCTGGGTGTTAGTCGACTGGTGTGGATAGCATCCTTGGTGTTAATCGACTGGTATGGGTCGCATCCTAGGTGTTAGTCGACTGGCGTGGGTCGCATCCTGGGATAAAACTGACCTACTTTGCCTGAAATGCTCTGTATAACAAGCAGCTTTCTATATAGTATGTTTTAAAAAAGAGAGTTCTTGTTATACATATATAATTTTCTCCTTTTTCAGGTTTTCTATCAACAGGAGACTCTGTGATTCCTGGTAATTTTGGGCTGAAAGACCAGACAATGGCTCTTCAGTGGATACAAAGAAATGTTTACAATTTCGGAGGAGACGCTAGCAGAGTCACTATATTTGGAGTGAGTGCTGGCGCAGTCTCAGTACATTTCCACATTTTGTCTCCACACAGTCAAGGTGAGTTGTCATTGCTAATCAATTGTTACTATGTGTGAATGTTATAAGTGACTTTATAGCTCTATCCTTCAACTGAAATGTATGAAAAACAGATTTATTTTATCACTGGAAATGCAGACACCATAGAAAATAGTAAAACTTAATTACGAAGATTCTTAGATTTGTTAAAGTAAGGCATCTCATTTTAAATAAATTTTAACAAAGTTAGGTTTCGTTAAAAAAAATCCATTACTATATTCTGCCGTTTTCTTGTGAGAATTGGAAAGGAAATACTTTTAAAATATTTAATTTTTTTAATTTTGAGAGAATAAACTCACTATGAATTAACTCCATTTTAGGGATTAAGGTATCACTGTTGGAGTAGAGAAGAACTTACAGCAGCCTCAGTAACCCTCGTCGAATTAACCCTGAAATTAAAAAACAATCAGCCCTCACCCTTAACAATAATAGTAGAGGAGAATGTACAACCAGCTGTGGAGTGTGTAATGGATACATGCACAACTGTAATAAATATGCAGCGCATATACGTATGAATTAACAATTTATCTCGCATTAAGTGGAGTGCAGTTGGTGCCTCCAGCCCTAGCTCTGAAGGATCCACTTGGGTTTATTGCTTCACTTTATATAAATATGTGAGATTTTTTTTTGTATTATCAGGCTTGTTTGCTCGAGGTATTATGCAGTCCGGCACAATGTTTGGTCCCTGGGCATTGGGAGGACAATTCAAGGAGGTCGCACAGTACACCGGAAAGCTTTTCGGATGTCCAGATGGTGGAGAAGTGGAGAGTGAGTCACAGAGCAACATTCTCCTTACTTGTCTCCAGGGCGTCAGTGTTGAAAATCTGACTATGTCCTTGACACAATATTATGTAAGTGTTCTTGATTTGGATTTTTTATGCATAATTTAAACTCAACAGAAGAAAAGATATAAGTCATTCTGCCTCAGTAAAAGCATTGTATATATGTAGAGTGCATAAATACCCATGACTGTTAAATAAACACACATACACTACAAGTGAACGGTATTTTGCTCACTCGCGCAATTGAAAAAAAAAAATTGTAAAAATACGCCATAATATAATAGTTAGTGTCCCATATCTGAGTAATTGTCGTTGACCTTAATTGAAATGAGAATTGTCTCAACTGGTCTGATTAGGACTGAATCAGAGAAAACACATCTATGCCGTAGGTGTGCGCAGTAAATAATAATAATAATAATAATAATAATAATAATAATAATAATAATAATAATAATAATATATAATAATTATTATTATTATTAATACTACTACTATTAGTATTATTATTATTACTATAAATATTAAGAGTATTGGGTTGTTGATGGCTGTACCAAAGGAACTACATATCATAAAATCATCTGCTAGTGTCAACAATAAGAGTTCATTTCCGTGCTACTGAGATACATCATTATCCTTCATGTGGCGAGGGAGGAGAGGGATTATCTTAATGCCAGTGAAAAGCTCAAACTAGGAAGGTCTGGCACCCTTCTTTGTTTACTAGAGCTGAATATGATTACCTTGCATTCCTCTGGTGTTGAATGACACTACGGGTTTATCTTATTCTCGATAAAATAACTTAATCAGGTATCACAAACATTTTCACCTCACCATCACCACGACATCTCCACTATCACAAACATTAAAACAATCATACAGAAAATTATTTTGTTGTCAATGGTCTTAATAGCACATACAAGTTAGACATAAAAAGTAACTCACATAAATTGAACTTCGGCTATATGACAAGTGTAAGGGTAAAAGCAGATGTTTACTTACTATACGACTAGGTGGGCGATTTTGTTGTAGCATCCAGGAAGGAGCTTCAAGGAGGTTAGAGTGATTGATATTGACATGTGGAATGGACCTTTATCATAAATACCGGCAAGCTGGTTTAAAAAAAATACGTATGGAAACACTAGGACATATTTACTGGAAAGCGTTTCGGCTCTGGGACCTTGATCACGATGATAAAGGTCCAGGACCGTAACGTTTTCTAATAAATATGTCGTAGTGTTTGCTTATGTGTTTTTCTAAACGGACATTGGCATGTATACAAGTTGAAACCTGAGGAAATAAGATATTTAATGGGGAGATGTATCGCCCATCTGGTGTTATGTTAGTCTCATACAGAGAACAAGAAATGCAAGTGGGTAGTGTCAGGTGCTGTATGGGTTGTGAGTGACATTTAAGTGATGATCATGTCCAGCACAGGAACAATGTGTTTTGCCAGTTTTTCAAGATTATTAAGGCAGATTCATAATCTAAGCTGATCACCATCCCTCTCTGCCCTCAGCTTATGCAGCACCTGCCTCCACCTATATACTCTGTATCTCGTTCTATGTATATATAATGAATTCATATATCCCTCTGTGAAAGACACATCTCTTCAGTAAATGTATTAATGCTGTATGTGTCTTGCATACAGGTGTATGATAGTAGTGAGGGGATCTTTTTGCCCATTTGGCCAGTGTTCATCGTGCAGTAATCGCCTGGATTTGTAGGTACCACTTTTTATTCCTTTTAGAAGTAGATGTTGAAGAATTCCATTTCTACTGCAAACTAACTGCTCACTCTCATTTATATTATTCAGCAGCAATCTGCTAACAATGATGGCCTCCATCCACCTGGTGGTATTTCTCCATGATTGAGATGTCTTGGTGGAGACATTCACCATGGTCATCGCTGACTGATCGCAGTGGGCCGAAAAAATCTAGGTGAAAAAAGAGGAAATGTATCTCTTTAAACACACTTTCAGCATGGGGGTCCCACTGCTACAGTCTGGAGCACATTGGTTTCAGTCATGTAAATCTTAGATTTTTTTATTGTCCAGAGATTCGATCCATGGACCTGAGTGGTAAGAGGCGCGACTCTCACCACTGATTTAGTCATTTAATTAATTTTGAATTATCATATGTGGTTTGGAATATGTCAAGTTTGAACACATAACTTCACACGTTTCACAGACTGTCATCTTCCTCATTATTTTACACAAGAAAAAACAACATTTACGAGATCGGGAATGGGTTATGGTTCACGGTGAAGTACAGGGCGTTTAACAGATTATGTATTAGGATATTGTCAAGTTCACTTTTTTTCAGTGCTTCTTGTAATAACACAAAGTATACATAGCTTGAGAATTGCCAAAGTCCTTTTTTACCGGTTGGTCAATACGTGACCTAACATGCAGAATAACTTCACTCTCTTCACTCACTTACACTGCTGCCGCATGTATTCCATGAGTGATTTCTTACACTTCTATTCCTAGGTATGTTTATTCTTAATGTTATTTGTATTACCCAGGACTATGAGTTAGTGTTATCTGTATTACCCAGAAAAGTGTGTTTCACCCTCTGTTGCTGGGTCCACGTGTAGATGGTGACTTCCTTCCAGCTGAACCTGAAGTGTTGATGACTCAGGGCAAACACAGCACTGTGGACATTATATCTGGAGTCAATTCTCATGAAGGCGGCATTTTTGCATTCTGTGCGTTAATTTCATATTTTATTATTATTAATACTTATCATTTCCTCTCTCAGTCCGTGTTGAGGCTATTTGTTTCACTTGGTGATGCTCCTCCTCCTCCTCCTCCTCCTCCTCCTCTTTTACTACACACACACTTCCTCTTTTTTCTTTATAGTTATCCTTTTCTTTCTCCTTCTCTTCCTGCTCCTTTTTCGTCCTTGTGCATCTACTCTTCCTCTGCATGCTGTTCTTTCTCGTTTCTTCATTTTCTTATGGTGTGAGGTTCTCCCTTCAGCCTCTACTCTTTCTCTAATATTCTTCCCTTTCTTCCCCTCTCTTCTCTGTTTCCTGTTCTTCACCTTGAGGCTTCTTCCTCCTACTGTTGCTCATTTCTTATGTTAATGAAAGTTCTAAATTATCAGGAATAAAGTCTTTCTGGCTATGATTATGTATTGTATAAAGATATATATATATAATAAATATATATATATATATATATATATAGATATATATATTAATATATATATATCTATATATATATTATATTATATATATAACTGATGTTAAGAATGAAAAGAAGTTGGATGTCCTGGCCCTAAGAGAAACAAAGCTGAAGGGGTAGGGGGAGTTTTCAGGGGGGGAAATTAAATGGGATTAAATTGGAGTATCTAAGAAAAGTTAAGCCAAAGGTAGGGGTAGCAGTAATGTAAAGGATCAGTTATGGAAGGAGAAAAGAGAATATGATGTGTAATTCAAGAATTAGGTGGATTAAAGTAAAGGTTGGACGGCGAGAAGTGGGTTGTAATAAGCGTGTATGCACCTGGAGAGAGAGGAATGCAGGAGGAGAGAGAGAGATTTTGGGAGTATTAAGTGAATGTATAGGAGCCTTTGAACCAAGTGAGAGACAATTGTGTAGGGGACTTGAATGCTAAGTAGGAGAAACTTTTAAGAGAGGGTAGGTAGGTAAGTTTGGGGTGCCAGGTGTAAATGATATGGGAGCCCCTTTGTTTGAACTTTGTATAGAAAAGGTGTTTAGTTATAGTAATACATATTTAAGAAAAAAGGAGGATAAATAAGTTATACAAGATATGATGTTGGGCGAAATGACAGTAGTTTGTTGGATTATGTATTGGTAGATAAAGACTGTTGAGTAGGACTTCAGGATGTACATGTTTATAGAGGGGGCCTCAGTATTTCAGATCACTTTCTAGTTGTAGCTACACTGAGAGTAAAGGTAGATGGGATACAAGGAGATTAGAAGCATCAGGAGAGGAGGTTGAAGGTTTATAAACTAAAGAGGAGGCAGTTAGGGTAAGATTAAAACAGCTATTGGAGGATAGATGGCTAATGAGAGCATAGGCAATTGGGGTCGAAGAGGTATGGGGTAGGTTTAAAAAATGTAGTGTTGGAGTGTTCAGCAGAAGTTTGTGGTTACTGGAAAGTGGGTGCCAGGAGCGGAAGAGGGCGATTGGTGGAATGATGATGTAATGAGAGTAGTAAGGGAGATAAGTTAGCATATGAGAAGCTTTTACAAAGTTAGAAGTGATGCAAGGAGGGAAGAGTTTATGGAGAAAAGAGGAGAGGTTAAGACCAGTGGTGAAGCATGTAAAAGAGAGCAATGAGTGAGTGGGTGAGATGTTATCAACAATTTTGTTTGAAACTAAGAAAAAGTTTGGTGTGAGAGTAACACGTTAAGAAAACCTAGAGAACCATGGATTTGCAGTTAGAAATTGGAGAGGAGGAGTTTTAAATTTTATTTTTTAGAGAGTTAGAGGTATTGGGATGATGGAGGGAATTTTTGAGAATTGTTAAATGTTGATGAGATAGGAAGCTGTGATTTCGTGTATTGGGACATGGAGGATAACATCGTGTAGGAGTGAGGAAGGCCAGTTGTGAGAGTGGGGGAGTTCGTGAGGCAGTAGGTAAATGAAAGGGGGTAAAGGCAGCGGGATTGATGGGATAAAGATAGAAAATGTTAAAAGCAGGTGGGGATATAGTTTTGGAGGTGGTTGGTGCAATTATTTAATAAATGATGGAAAGAGGGTAAGGTACTAGGGATTGCAGAGAGCATGCATAGCTTCGTTGTATAAAGGCAAAGGGGATAAAGAGAGTGCAAAAAATTTATAGGGGGTAAGGTTGCTGAGTATACCTGGTAAAGTGTATGGTAGAGTTAATAAAAAGTTTTATTGAAAGAATTAAGAGTAAGACGGAGAAAGGATAGCCAGATGAACAAGGAGGCTTTAGGAAAAGGTAGGGGGTGTGTGGACCAGGTGTTTACAGTGAAACTATAAGTGAACAGTATTTAGATAAGGCTAAAGAGCGTCTCTGTGGCTTATAGGATGTGGAAAAGGCGTATGACAGGGTGGTGAGGGGGGCAATGTGGCAGAAGTTGCAAGTGTATGGTGTAGGAGAAGTAGGGTACTTGAAAGCAGTGAAGAGTTTTTACGGTATAGTGAGGCTCAAGTTAGAGTATTGTAGGGAAAGAGGGAAAATTATTTCCAGTAAAAGTAGCCTTTTGGGACAAGGATGTGTGACTGTCACCGTGGTTGTTTAATATATTTATAGATGGGGTTGTATGAGAAGTAATGCGAGGGTCTTGCAGAGCGTGGAGATAAAGATAACAATCACACACAAAATGGAGTTGTCACAGCTACTCTTTGTGATGACACTGTGCTCTTGGGAGATCTGAAGAGAAGTTGCAGAGCTTGGTGGTGAATTTGGTAGGGTGTGGCAAAAGAAGAAAATTAAGGGTGAATACAGAAAGAGTTCAGGTTATGAGGATAACAAAAAAGATTAGGTGAGAAGATTGAATATAGGATGGAGGGAGAGAGTTTGGAGGAGGTAAATGTATCAGATATTTGGAGTGGACGGTCAGTGGATGGGTCTTGGAAAGATGAGGTGACTCATAGAATTGTGAGGGGAAAAGAGTGAGTGTGCATTGGAGTTGTGGGAGACGAAGATCTTTGTCCTTGGAGGACAAAGAGGCGGAATGTATGAGAATTAGTTCTACAACGCTTTTATATGGGTGTGAAGCATGGGTGATGGAATGTTGCAGCGAGGAGAAAGGCTGGGAGGCAGTGGAGATGTTCATGTCTGAGGGCAATGTTGTGGTGTGAATATAATGCAGAGAATTCGTAGTTTGGAAGATAGGAGGAGGTGTGGGATCACCAAAACTGTTGTCCAGAGGGCTGAGGAAGGGTTGTTGAGTGGTTCGGACATGTAGAGAGAATGGAGCGAAACAGAATGACTTCAAGTGTTGTATCAGTCTGTAGTGGAAGGAGGCGGGGTAGGGGTCGGCCTAGGAAAGGTTGGGAGAGGGGTTAAAGGAGGTTTTGTGTGCGAGGGGCTTGGACTTCCAGCAGGCATGCGTGAGCGTGTTGATAGAAGTGAATGGAGACCAAATGTTTTTTTTAATACTTGACGTGCTGTTGGAGTTGAGCAAAGTAACATTTATGAAGGTGGTTCAGGAAACCCGGCAGCCCGTTACTTGAGTCCTGGAGATGGAAGTACATGCCTGCACCTCTGAAGGAGGGGTGTAATGTTGCGTTTAAAAACTGTAGTGTAAAGCTCTTCTGCAAGACAGTGATGGAGTAAATGATGGTGATGAAAGTTTTTCTTTTTCGGGGCCACCCTGCTTGGTGGGATCGGCCAGTGTGAGAATAAATATTATATATATATATATACTATATATATATATTATATATATATATTCATATATATATGTGTAGACACACTCACACACCACACACCACACACAATTTTTTCCCCCCCCCCCCCCTTTTTGTGTGTGGTGTGTGTGTGTGTGTGTGCTTGTGTGTGTGTGTGCTTGGGTGTGTGTGTGTGTGTGTGCAAGGAATTTGCAAGAACAGGCGAATCAATTTTGCCTGCTCTTGTGAATTCCTTGCATTGTTAAAAATTCTCTAGTAAGGCGGAGGCATGCTGGGATGAGATGAAAATCGTAAGCCTCTCCATGAATGCTGGCTGCTTGGATCAACGTCTGCATGAGCTGGAGCGAAGGTATTGGTCCAGTTGTGTGAGAATGGTATAGCACTGTCGGTTTGTAGGCTCGAGTCGCCTTCGGGCCAGTGATCAATGTTTATATATATTTATATATATATATATTATAATATATATATTATATATTTATATATTTAATTTATATATATTATATAATATATATATATATATATATATAAATATGTCGTGCCCGAATAGGCAGAATTTGCGATTTAGGCTTCAAATACCAAACGCTCATTTGCCATATTGGACAAGTGAAAATTTGTGTATGCAATAATTTCGCCCAAATTCATTTGAACATACGAAAAAAAAATTTTCACTGGGTATGTTTTGTAATTAAATTATTGTAATCAAATTTAAAATATATATAGTTGGGTTAGGCTAAATAAATTGTTCTTGCTATAATAAGGTTAGGTAATGTTTTCTGAAGTTCCTTTTGGTGCAAATTATAAATTTTTGCATCAATATTAATGAAAAAAAATATAATCTTTCAAGCATAAGAGAAAATTTTAGAAAAGACTTTTATTTTAAATGAGTTCTTGCTATTTGACCAGTTTTTCATATTCGGCACGACATATATATATATACATATATATATATATATATATGGTTGTGCCGAATATGTAAAACTGGTCAATTAGCAAGAAAACTCATTTAAAATTAAGGTCTTTTAAAATTTTCTCTTATACGTTTCAAGTGTATATTTTTTTCATTAATGTTAATGTAAAAATTTTTAATTTTGCTCCAAAAGAATCTTAGAAAAACTTACTAACGTTATTATAACAAGGACAATTTATTTTAGGGCCTATCCCAAACTTAAATATATTTTTAGATTTGTTTACAATAATTTAATACTAAGCAAACACAGTGGAAATATAATTTTTTTCCTTAGGTTCAGAATGATTTTAGCGAAATTATTGCATACACAAAATTTTCATTGTCCTATATGGCAAAGATGAGCGTTTGCTATTTAAGCCAAGATCGGCAAGTTCTGCCTATTCGGC